AAAAAAAAAAAAAAAAAAAAAAAAAGAAAGAAAACGAAAGAAAGAAAAGAAGAAAAAGAAGAGTAGATTGTTAAGTCTACTTTTTGAAAAGTAATTTATTTTTATTTACATTGGTGTTTTGTCTGCACATATGTCTGTGTGTGTAAATCCTGGAGTGACAGACAGGTGTGGGCTGCCATGTGGGTACTGGGAATTGAACCTGGATTCTCTGCAAGAGCAGTCAGGGCCCTTAACTGAGCCATCTCTTCAGCCTCCTTAAGTCTACTGTTGAACAACTACTAGTCTCAAATATTTTACATTGGTATGGATTTTTGGATATTGATACAAACTTAAGGTTACTTTTGTTATACTGTATATATATTTCTACTCTTGTTTAAGGTATTGTACCTATGCAGCTCATTTTAAAACGTAAAGTTTTAGTCCTTAAAAACAATTTAGGATAATAAAGAAATACAGGTTAGTGGTTAGTTATCTGTGACAAACTTATAGTCATGTTAGGCATGTTTTCAAGGTCAAACAGAGATTATATTTTAGATATATAGATGGTCTTCAAAAATTTCAGAGAGCTACAGAGTATGGCATTTCAGGTGTTTTAATAACATAAGTCTTTTTATGACAGTGAGATGTATCTGATCCTGGAAACGCCAATCTACTTCTAAAAAGGATGATGGGCATCAAAGAACCTCCTTATGGAGTTTGCTTTCACAGTGCCAAGAAAATGTCCTTGCCTCCACTGCTGGCAGAATGCTGTCCAAACTGTACAAGCAGGACACAAAAGAAAGCCACTACCAAACTTTGCCAAGACAAGATAGGACAGTCCTTTGAAATTCCTGCTTCACAGAAAAGTCTGTCAGATATTCTAGGTCTGGGGACTGAAGATTGATGCCCCATTGTTGGAGAGGAACCTTGGGTGACTGTACAGGAAGCCAGATGTCGATGTCTTTGTTTTAGAAGTTAGTGCTTGCTCCACACTTCCTGTATAATCAAGTAGTATTATGCCCTTCCTGGTCTCTGATGGGGTTAAAGAAAGATAGCTATGGTTTTCCTTAGTTTTGATAGAAAGTAAATCAGGTATAAAACTTTGGACTCGCCAAGATAGTATAAATAATGGAGTATATTTTTTGAAATTTGCCACCACTAATGGACTGTACATTGTGAATGTAATTCTTGCCTGATAATTGTTCTTATTGTATACAGTTTTATTATGTTAGAGTTAAAATCTTTCCTTTTTATTTAGACAGAAAGGGAAAAATTTTGTGAAGATATATTGCTGTGATTGTTACAATAAAAAGCTGAATGGCAAATATCTAGGCAAGAGGTATAGGCAGCATTTCCAGGGAGAGAAAGGAAGAGGAGGAGGAATCTAGGTACACAGGAAAGGCCAGGAGACACAGAGAGGAAACAGGAAGAGAAGTAACGCCACGCGATAGAACATGGATTAATGTAAACGGGTTAATTTAAGTTATAAGAGCTAGTTAGGAGCAAGCCTAAGTTGTGGGCCAATCTTTCATAATTAATAAGAAGTCTCTGTGTCATTATTTAGGAGTTGGCTGGTAGGACAGAAAAAGTCCATTACAGAGGAAGTGATGTCACCCTTCTTATGATCTTAGTACTTAGGGGGTAGAGGCAAGACGGTTAGAAATTCAAGGCCATTTTCAGGTCCAAATAATTTAAGACCCTCTTTCCAAAACAACTACAACAACAAAGTTCAAGTTCATCCACAGCTACACAGGGAGTTCAAAGCTAGCCTGGGCCAATCTCACACAAACAAACAGTTGTGGGGAAATACTCTGTGAAGCCAGGTCAGTCCTCAAAGGGCTTGCTCTGTAAACATGATGGTCTAAGTTCCATTCCCAGAACCCACACAAAAAGCAGATATGGTGTGGTGGTATGGTGGTGCACCATTGACAGGAACATTCCTGGGGATTTGTGGGGCAGCCAGGTTAGCTGAATGAGCAAACCACAAGTCCCAGTGAAAGCTCTGTCTCAAGGTGGATAGCTGTCCTGAGAAACAACACTCAAGGTTTCTCTGATCTCCACATACAACACTGCTGTTGTTAGAGACAGCTTTGGCTGGAAACTCTTTTTTTTTTTTTTTTTTGGTTTGTTGAGACAGGGTTTCTCTGTGGTTTTGGAGGCTGTCCTGGAACTAGCTCTTATAGACAAGGCTGGTCTCGAACAGGGATCCACCTGCCTCTGCCTCCTGAGTGCTGGGATTAAAGGCGTGCACCACCGTCCGGCGAAACTCATTCATTATTCCTATAGTGGCAGGATAATCAATTGACTCCCACCCATTACAGTTTTGCTTTCTCACAACTGTAGGAGCCTGGTGAGAAGGAGTCATTTCCTGCCCAGGCAGTTCTGGGTATTCTTGCCCATCAGAAGAAGTATCAGATGCATTTCTTGTCTCTCAAACCATTTAGGCATCTCTACTATTGAGGTACCCATGGTATCTGAGCAGGTGGGACTAGAGACATGATTCTTGATTAAGAGGCCCTGGGGAGAAGGATAGGGAAGAGGCAGTGTTCATGTGTGGGAGAGTTAAGTGTCCTGGGGAAGCAGGACAGTGTCAAGTCAGCAGGGTTCTAGGGAGGAACCTTTGTGTTGGATGTAGACAAAGGGTGCAACAGGGACACAGCACACTCCATCCAAGTGTGACTCTTCTTGTCTGACTTTAGGGACAAACAGGACCGATATTACAGTTCCCAAGGGCTAGGGAGGTAAAGACTAGAATAAATCCATCTGGTTTCAAAGGAAAATGAAAGAAGAAAATAAGAATTTCCCCCATACCCAGGTGTCATAGATGAAATTTTTCCTGCTCTAAGCTGGAGAAAAGGGTTGCTGCATCTCAGGAAGGGTTTTAAACAAACAACACTAGCTGCAATCAGCCAGCAGCTGAAGCTGGTACTTCTCAGCCAGTGGGAGTAAAATATACCCTTCCCAGGGTGGTCCTGTTAATTAAAGTAGGCTTAGACTGAGGAAGAGCCTTGAGACTTGACATTTATTCAACCCAGGGCCAATGCATACAGATTAAGCTGTTTGGGGTATTTGATAATGCCAGAAATGCCTCAAGTCTTCAAATGGATCATCAGCCAAAACATGTCTCCTATATGTCTGTTCCTGAGGGATGGGTTTAACAAATCAAGAAGGATGTCTGCTCTCTGGGATAAAAGCTGCCTGAGGGATACTGTAAAAGTCCAGCAGCAAGGTTCTGGATTGCCTCTGCCTCTATACCACTAGCTCTCAGTTTTCCCTTCTCTCTTTGGTTTAGGACAAGATGACCTTGAACTCATTATGTAGCAAAGCTGTCTTTGAACTCTTGACCTTCCCGACTTCATCTCCCAAGTGATGGGACAGCAGGTGTTTGTCACCACACCTAGCTTCATCACTCTTTCAAAAGGAAGGAGGGTGCTGGGCAATCTGAAGCTGCATTTTGAGCCTGGTTTTGTAAGCATTGCCAATAAGTCCTTCCAACTGGAAATGCTAAGAATGCTAAGGAATATGGCAGGCTCTAAGACCCTGCTGTCAGCCTGAGAAAGCATTTCTGAAGAAGGCAGGTGGCAGATCTCAGAGGACCTGGCAAAAGGCTAGGGAACTAGAAGCTGTGGAGGAGGGGGGTGTTTCTCTGGGCTTTGCTCTTCCCTGCCCTTGATTAGAAGAGGATTGAGTACATACATCACTATGACCACTTGGACGCCCTGGGAGGAGACAGAGGAAAACGGGGGATGTTTCTTATCCCCTCCTGCTGTCTGCTCCATGTTTCTGTTCTCAGGAACATCCATTCTTTCTGGGCTCCTCACTGCACACTTACCTTTCTCTTCTGGATTCTAGCAGCCATGCTGCCCCGTCCCTTTGAGCTCTTATGGGATAACAGTAAAGACTGCCAGCTTTTTGTTTATTTGTGTTGCTCAGTTTTGTGTTAAGACAGGGTCTCACACACCCTAGGCTGGCCTCAAACACACTGTAAAGTTGAGGAAAACTTTGAATATATGATCTTCCTGTGTGCTGGGATTATAGACATGAGCCTTGTTTATTCAATGCTCTGGATCGAATCTATGGCTTCATGCCTTGATAGTCAGGCATTCTACCAAATGAGCTACACCCCCAACCTGTGTGTTTTGAGATAGAATCTTGTTATGTAGCTAAGATTACAGACATATACAACCAAGCCCAGACACTTGGCTCTTAAACCGTGACACAGCTGCATGCAATGGCTCATGGGTGTAGTAAGAGAACTTGAAAAGTTGGAAGAGGATGATTCTTGCGTGTTCAAGTCCAGCCTGAGATACATGATGATTTAGGCCAGCCTGGGCTACAGAATGAGAACTTGTTTCAAATCTTATCCTCTAGACAAAATCTTGTGAGACTATCTTTCCCTGAGGCATCCATAGCTGCTGCTTTTGTACACACATACTCCTGAGTTTTCCTACTTTGAGTGTGCTTTTCAGTGCTGTGAGTCTGACTGGCCTACCCTCCTTGTCTGCAGGTGTGAGAACGGCGGAGGGCTGGGCCTGCATCCTCCTCCCAAGCTCTTGAATCCTGTTTCTGCTATTCTAAGCCATCTATGCTTCCTCACCCTCCCTAGCCAGGTATGTGGGCTGGTAGCAGCCACCGCCTGCCCAACTAAAAGGAGGCTTCCTACTCATGCCCAAGTCCTAGGACTGGGAGGCTAGTCGTGGGTTTTTGTGGCCTCGAAGAATCTGAAGTTAAGGAAGTTCAGGAAAATTCAAGGTTTGCTTCCTCAGCTTTGAAGGTTCTAGTCCCCATTGCTACCCACTCTATCTTTGCTTAGAACCTTCTCCCATCACAAAGGACTCATAAACAAAACTTCCCACTTTGGTACCTGATCTGATCTCAAGGACAAGATTCAAGACCTCCTGCTGTTCCAGGGTTAGGCTGTTCCCAGGTGCCTGTCTCTGCCAGGGCTGAGATGGTGCTTGGGATCTCATAGGAGGCAGGAATAGCCCTTTCCTTCCCTCTGCCCTCAGGATGCTTTGTACCTCACATCTCTGCAGGAACACTGTTGGAGGAGGGGGCTTGGCTGCAAGGCGATATTCTCCAGCAATCTCACTCTTGACTTGACCTCGGTAGTGCCCATAGAAGCCACTGTTGTGCTATAACAAGGAAGGCATGGATGATGGAAAAGCCATTTAAATCCTCACCCTGGGGCTTCCAAGAAGTCAGGGTTTGCACAGAGTTGTTCCCATCTTTCATTGGGACAAGTGGCCTCAACATGTTGATCTATGCAGGCTATGTGTGTGGGGGAGGGAGAGGACATCATCTGGTCAGAACATACTTCTGTTGGCAAAGCTACTGTTGAGTAGGGCGCTGCATCCTTTAGATGGGGATCTGAGTGTAAGTCCCCTTTGTCCCCCCCCCCCCACGATATTAATAGTGAGTCAAGAGTCCCTGAGAACCCAGAATCCAACATATATTTCCTTTGAAACTATTGGCAAGGTTGTGGACACTCATTTACCATACATTCTGCTATTCTAGGGTAAAAATGAGCACCTCTGAACATGGGGCATTCAAGCAAGATATAAACTTTCCCAACAGTGTATAACCAATAGAGAATCCTCCAGATATAAGTCAGAGGAAGGTACTGGCAAAAACCAGAAGTAAGCACTTGTCGGCCAGGCATGGTGGCTCATATCTGTAATCTAAGCAGTGGGTAGAACTGAGGTGGGAGGAGAATGTGAATTCAGGAATTCAGGGCTATACTGAGTTGCATAGAAAGTTCAGGGCCAGCCCAAGCTACAGTGGAAGACTGGAAGACTGTCTCAAAAACAAAACAAAACAAAACAAAACAAAACAAAAAAAAAAAAAAAAAAAAAAGAACAAAAAATAAAAATAAAAAAAAGGAAAAGGAAAAGAAAGTAAGAGACCCCGTGTTAGAAATAGAAGGGGTTCAGGGTAGTCAGTAGGATAAGGGAGAGGAGGGGTAGAAAATGACCAAATACATGTATATGCATATATTAGAATATATGTATATTACACATACATATATATATACATGTAATATATTTAGGGCTGGAGAGATGATTCAGCAGTCAAGGACACTGATTGTTCTTTCAGAGGAACTGAGTTTGATCCCCAGCACCCAAATGGTAGCTCACAACCATCTATATTTCTAGTCCTAGGGAATCTGGTGTCATCTTCTGGCCTCCTTGGGCACCAAGCACACAGACACACATGCAGAAAAAACATTCATACACATAACACAACAAAAAATACATTAAAAAAATAAGTCCCTGTGGAAGGGCTGTTCTCTGATGATATCATTAGGTGACCACGCCCTTTTGTATTGAGATCTTTTGAAGATCAAGTCCCCCATAATTAGAACCCTAAGCAGAGGGGCTTTGCTTGAGGCTGGCCTCCAGCCTTAACAATGGGCTCCTTAACATCTCCTTCCATTTCACTGAAGATTTGCACCTTAATTGTCTGCCTGTTCCTGCACTATTTGTGGATACCCTTTTTCTCTTTACTCAGTTTAGCTTAACAATATTTGAATTCAATAGCAGTCACTGTGTTCCAGGCATGGGGGATGGGCCCAGGAAATAGATAAAAAGCAGTTAGTCCTGAAGGGAGGACCAGTGAAGAACTGGATGCTAGAGGAATAAGAGACTCACTGGAGAGCAGGAGAGCAGGGACCAAGGCAACCTACAGAGGTATGGAGGTATGGAGGTATGGAGGAGGAAGAGAGGGCAGCTCGAGGCTTCTGTCCACTGGGATGCAGATGTGGATGCCAGATGATACCTCACTTTATCCTCATGACTCACAAGGATGTCATGCTGGCCAGAGGGTCAGGATTAACTCTTACCCAGGAGCCTATTAAAGCACTTTGCATCTTTCCATGAAGGAGCCAAAAAAGGCAAACTTTCCTCTTGTCTTTTTGATGCTACATCTGAGTAGACAGAATCTCAAGAGGTCAGCTATTTGTTGCTTAGTAACAAAGGGAGGCTGTGACTGCACAATGCTGCTGCCGAGGCGGGAACCAGCCTCTTGCCTTCTTGTCCTTGCTGCCCTTCCTTCTGTATGAGAGAACTCTAGCTCTTGTCATTGTGGGCCTAGGAGTCTTTATACAAACATGCAGCACACCACAGTAGAGTCTGATGTACTCACAGCCAATGAAATATTAAAGACCACTTGGGAGGCAAATACTGTATCTTTAAAACTCTGTGACAAGGCTGGGCAGTGGTGGCACACACCTTTAGTCCCAGCACTCAGGAGGAAAAGGCAGGTTAATCTCTGAGTTCAAGGCCAGCCTGATCTACAGAGCTAGTTCCAGGACAGTTAGGGCTATTACATAGAGAAACTCTCTCAGAAAACCAAAAGCAAAACAACAAAAAGCCCTCTGTGACAATATTGCTAGGAACAGAAAGCATTTAGAAAGCATTCTATGAAGTCAGAAGAAATGTCAAAAAGGTTGTGGCTTCACAAACTCTGCCTACTTATGCTAGGTTTTTTTTTTTTGGTTCTTGTTTGTTTTTGTTCTTGTTTTTTTTTTTTTTTTTTTTTTTTTTCCGAGCAGGGTTTCTCTGTAGCTTTGGAGCTATCCTGGAACTAGCTCTGTAGACCAGGCTGGTCTAGAACTCACAGAGATCTGCCTGCCTCTGCCTGCTGAGTGCTGGGATTAAAGCTATGCACCACCACTGTTCGCCAGCAATGCCAAGTTTTACATGTGAATGCCACAGGGCTAATGTGAGGGAGAAGAGATTTGGCGTTATGGTCTAATTCTGAGAAACTTTGAGCTAAATATGTACTTTGCATTTTATCTGTAACAGAGACATGAGCAGTTCATCCTTTTCATTTTGCCAGAAGAAGCTGGCTATGCAGAAAGGTTCCAATGCATGCTCAACGATGCGGTCAAGGAAGATGAAAGCTATAAGTCAGGCGCTGGTATCGCACGCCTTTAGTCCCAGCACTCGGGAGGCACCCGGTCTACAGAGCTAGTTCCAGGACAGGCACAAAAAACCCTGTCTTGAAAAACCAAAAATAAATAAATAATTAAATAAAAAAAGATAAAAGCTATATGAGATAGAAGAAGGGGAAAAAAGATGAGTTTTATCTTATGTGTATGAAAGCTTGTCTTCATGTGTGTGTATGAGTGTCACATGTGAGCAGTACCCATACATACCCATAGACATTAGAAGCATTACTCCCTGGAATTGGAGTAAGAAAGTAGTGTTTCCATGTGGGTGATGGGAATTGAACCTGGGTCCTCTGGCAGAACAGTCAGTGCTCTTAACTGCTGAACCATCTCTCCAGCCTCAAATTACAATCTCCCCCCCCCCCCCCCGCCAAAAAAAACTCTGCCAGGCAGTGGTAGCATAGGCCTGTAATTCCAGCACTTGGCAAGCAGAGGCAGGCAGATCTCTGTGAGTCTAAGGCCAGCCTGATCTAGAGAGTGAGTTCCAGGACAGACTCTAAAGCTACACAGAGAAACCCTGTCTTGAAAACCCAAACAAACAAACAAATGAACAAACAAAAACAAAAGTCCAACAGCAGAAAACAGATGCTCCTGGTGTCACTGCAGCAAGTCTATCCCTGTGTGACTGGCACATGCACACTGACACAAAAGGATTCATAGTAACTGTATACATGTCTTATCCTTTACTGGAAATACTTGGGCCTGAAATGTTTGGGGATAGTTTTCAGATCTGGGGAAGGTCTTGGTTACTTTTCTGTAACTTTGATAAAATACCAGACTGCAGGGAGATTGGGATTATTTTGTCTCACAATTCATCACAACAGCAGGGGCTTTCCGCAGCTGATGATGATTTTACATCCAGTGTAGAAAAAGAAACTGGGGCTGGAGAGATGTCTCAGTAGTTAAGAGCACTGGCTGCTCTTCCAGAGGACACCGGCTCAGTTCCCAGCACCCACAGGAAGGCTCACAACCATCTTTAACACTTCCTGGACTTTGTGAGCTCTGCACGCATGTGCTACACAGATGTACAGTCATGTGGTACACAGAGAGACAGTCAGGCACTTCAACACAGAAAATAAAAATATATAAAATATCAAAAAATTTAAGAGGCAGAAAGCAGCACTGGCTCGGCGGCTCGGTGCTTTCTGGCAAGTCTGAGACCTGAGCTCCATTCCAGGGACCCACATGCTGGAAGGAGAGAAACAACCGCAGTGGATCGGCCTCTATCTCCCCAGTGCCGGATGCACAATTCCCTACCTACCACTAAATAAGTAATTGTAAGAAAAAAGAGGAAGGGAGGAGAAGCAGAGAAGGTGGCAATGGATTCTGTGCTCAGTGTAATTTTTTAAAAAGCGGCACGAGAGAGAAAGACACCACGGGACAGAGTTCAAGCAGTGGGATTTTTATTAGGGAAAAGTATCAGGACAAGAGCAGCAGGAGAGAGGAAAGGGGGGGGTGCAGACGATGGAGAGAGGGGGAGAAAGAAAGAGGGAGAGAAGGATGGGAGTGGGCAGGGCGAGTCCTGTCAGATCTCCAAAGGCAGGCCAGTACAGATGCCTGAACACCGACACAGTGTATTTTCTCCTTTTCACACTGTTGAGGATGCCACCTGCAGAGTGCAGGACCTGCCACCCCAACTACTCTAATCAAGATAACCCCCTATAGGCATTGCCATTGCCCAGAGGCTTATGTCTTAGTAACGCTAGATCTCATGGAATTTACAGTTGACATTAACTATCATAAACACACAGCCAGAAATCCAAAACCAGGTGGCACATTTGTAATTCCAGCACTTGGGAGGTGGAGGTTGGAGAATCTGAGGTTTAAAGCCAGTCTTGGCTCCCAAGTGAAGTTGAGCTAGCCCCGTCTACATAGTGAGTGCCAGGCCAGCCTGGGCTGCATGGTGAAATGCTGCCTCAAACAATGCCACATATTACTTGTGGAAAAACATATGGGATCAAATTATAAGACATTCATAAGACCGATAACTAACAAGTTCAGGATAGAAGTGACTTGAAGAAGAGAAAAGAATGGTATCAGGGGTGGAGGATTAGGGCTTCAACTCTGTTATTTGTTTGTTCTTTCTTTTTGAGATAGATTCTCATATAGCCTAGGCTGGCACTAACCTGACTCTGTAGCTGAGGATGTGTGACTAAGCTATTTCTTTTAGGCCCACCGACCAGCTTCTAAATCACAACACAAAGACTTATTATTAGTTTTGAATGCTTGACCTAGCTTAGGCTTGTTTCTAGCCAGCTTTTTTTTTTTTTTTTTAAACTTAAATTAACCCTTTTCTCTCTATCTACCTTTTGGTTTGGGATGTTTAAGTTTTCTTTCTTTCCATATATCTTACTTACTTCATTGCTTCTATAAGTCTGGCTGGCTTGTGTCTACCTGGCTTCTGGCCCTGGGTGTCTCCCTCATTTTTGTTCCTCTTTTGTTCCTAGTTCTTCTTGAGCCTGGATTTCTGCTCCTATTTATTCTCCGCTCGCTAGCCCCACCCATCCATTCTCTGTCTAGATTGGCCATTCAGCTTTTTATTAGACTAAAAAGGTGCCTTAGGCAGGCAAGCTGAAACAAAAGCAACACATCTTTACACAGAGAACACACATCCTTACACCATTAAACAAAGGTAGCACAAACAAATATAACACACTTTTGTCTAGTTAAAATAATATTCCACAAGGATGGCCTTAACTTTTTGATTTGCTTGTCTTTGTCTCCCAGGTGCTGGAATTTTAGACTTGTGCCACCATGTTATGTTTCTACCATTTTATCATCATCATTTGTGGGAATCAAACAAACACTCTTCTACTAAACTGCAACCCCAGATCTTTTATTTTTGTGACAGTTTAAGTTACTCAGGCCTGGCTTGAATTTTGTGTCACACAGAAGTACTTGTGATGCCTGAACCACCTGGTCAGCTTTTGTTTGGGTTTTGTTTTTTGTTTTTGAGACAGGGTTTTTTTTTCTTTTTCTTTTTTTCATTCTGAAGTTCAGATTTCCAAGAAAACTGGTTACATAGCCCAGCCTGGTCTCCAATTCCTGATTCACCTACCTTAGGTTCCCAGGTTCTAGAACATCAGGTCTCACCACACTTGGCTATGTTACTTTTTGCTGTACCAATGAAGGAACTCGGGGCCTTCCATAATTTACATATGCTACTGAGCTACAGTCCCCAACTAGATTGTGGGGTTTTGCTTGTGTTTTGAGATGGGATCTTACTATGTGATCCTGAATAAGCTAGAACCCGTTATGTAGGCCAGAGTGACTTCAAACTTGCATTGATCTTCCTACCCACTCAAGTGCTGGGATTTCAGGAATGTGCCACCATGTCTGACCTACAACTGCTTGCTTTCTTTGAGACAGGGTCTCATGTATCCCAGTCTGGCCCCAAACTTTCTCTGTAGCCAAAATGACATTAAACTTCTGCTTCTTGTGCCTTCGCCCAGAGTGCTGGGATTACAAGTGTGCACCACAATTAGCTCCATTGTTCTGTTACTATAGGTATACTTGCATTTTTAGAATTTTATATAAATAGAACTACGAAGTATGTGTGAGAGGGCCAGGGAGCCAGACCAGAGCCGTGTCAGGTCTCTAATAGCCCCTGCCAGGGACTATGCCTTAGTTTTGGTTCACTGGAGGCGGCTGGAGATGAGCAAGAAGTTCTCAGGAAAGCCACTACTCAAGAGGCAACCAATCAGCAGGTGCCCCACAGCCTTCTGCTAGTTAAAGATAGATTTCTCTGCTGGACGTTGGTGGTGCAAGCCTTTAATCCCAGCACTCGGGAGGCAGAGGCAGGCGGATCTCTGTGAGTTCGAGGCCAGCCTGGTCAATGAGTTCCAGGACGGCTAGGCTACACAGAGAAACCCTCTCTCAAAAGACAAAAAAAAAAAAAAAAAAAAAAAAAAGTGTGCGCACCTCTCTGGGGTAGCCATTTGCCTCTTTGTCATATGGTTAGACCCCATGTTAGTAATATTAAC